TTTAAAAAGTTTTTTCATGCATGGAGATACCAATGTTGTTGGATGATTTGGATCCATATTCCAGCTCTTATTGGGTCAATGGATGTCCATTTGACCCAGTCTAGACTGGGTGACCAAGTGGTTAGATCCTTGGTCAAGTTGAGACACTTGTCTCAAATCTGGTGGAGCATAAATGATAAAGCTTATCTCAATTGGTTATTCAGATAGTTATTGTTCCTAATATCAAGGAACTTAACGTTGGAGGAGCAACTATTTAAGGGATCTCTCCCAAGTGCTTCTAAAACAATGAGATAAGGTTCTTTACTGAGAAAGGAAAATAATCCTCTCACTTTTGGCTCTAATCAGATTCAGCTACTCTCTCTTATATATTGTTTTAGAGATTTGTGGCTCGGGTCCGATACTATGAATTCTCTTTGCATGCAGGTAAAAGCGCCAGTGACTTTAGCCGTTGGATCCTACACGCACATGGTGCATCATTATTTCCATGTTTTCAAATTGAATATATGGTGTGAACACTATAGGTGTGATTAATAAGAAAAAACTTTAAAAAGAAAATCCCAAAAACAAGAAAATCTTATGTTGTAAAAAAAGCCCGTTTTATACTAATTGGGCAAAGAAGACGAAGATAAACAGGTTAACACGACCCACTTTCAAAAACAAGTATGGGTCGGCATCAACTCATTTCCGAGCAATTTGTTTTAATTACCGTGTTATACACGGCTTTCAGATTTACCATGTTACACACAATTACCTAATAACAATAATTTTATTATCTGTTTTTAATTATTATTTTGAATAATTTATAGTTTTGTTATTTAATATAAGTAATTACACATGGCTACCTAAATTGAAGATGGAGGGGGCCTGTGCATTAATTAAAATAATGAAATTATGTAATGAATTTAAAAATTTTCTTAAAACTAGAAAGATAATTATAACTTAACATTCAAATTAATAATAATTTAATATTTTACAAAACTAATGATGAAATTATGTAATAATAGTATAACTTATAATTTAATGGGTTCAATAAATAATTAATACTTTAAAATTTCAATAATTATATTATTTAAATAACTAAATAATATTATAAATAAATAATTTTACTTATATCAATTAACGATTCTAGAAAATAAATTTCAAAAAATTAATATTAATTAATAATAATTTTAGAATCTTAACCTATATTTATTATATACTTATATACTAAAATTAATAGTTATTGTATTTTAAGTGATTATTTATTGATTTTTTTGTGATAAATATATTTTCAATAATTATGTATAAATCTATTTTTTAAATTTATTGTACTTATTGTATTTATTGTATTTTTTATAATTTATTGATTAATATTTATTAGAGATTAAACTATTATTTGAGATTACTCTATTTATTGACTATTTTAATATATACTTTTAGTATTTATTGTATTTTGTAACTATTGTATTTATTGTATTTTCGTTATCAATATATTTTCAATAATTGTGTATTTTTTCTATAAATTTTCAATAATTATTGGAGATTAAACTGATATTATTTATTAGAGATTAGAATGTTAATTTAGTTGAAATTAGGAGTGTTCACAGGTTGGTTCGGTTTAGTTGTAGGCTATTTGGCCAATCAAATCGACCTGGTCAAATTGGGGAGTTGGTCACCCAAAACCGACTAATCATTAGTGAAAACCAACCAACTCGGGTTGTATCAGTTTGGATCGATTTTTGGTTTGGTCAGTTGGTTCAAACGATTTAGACTTAAAAAATCAAATTTAAATAAAAAATTATAATGACATTATTAAAAATAAATTTAAAAGTTAAAATTTTGATATAAAACATTTTAGACTAAGAAATATTGGAATTTTCCCACTTTCCCATATTAAAAATATAAATATCAATATATATCTATGGTCGCGTCGTTTGGTTTTGGTTGGTTTAAAAATGTCCAAAGCAAAACTAATCCAACCTATTAGGTTGGGAAATTGTTGAACCAAAGCCAACCGAAAAATACTAGAAAATCGACCAACTCGGATCCAGTTGGTCGGGTTGGTTGGTTTCATTAGTTTAATGAACCCTAGCTAAAATTAATTATTGTTATTTTTGTAGTGTAAAATAATTATTAAAAGTAGAATAAGGGAAAATCTATGATGTGGGAAAGATATGATATCAAAAGAGTTTTGATCGATCAAATTTCACCCATGAATTTTGATAAATAACACCTAATTGGTTACCACGTTTATGATATAAGTTGATTGGTCAAAAAATTTTTAGATATCATATCTTTCCCATATCATAATTGAACCCAAAATATAATTATTAATTATTTAAAAGTTAAAAATATAAACCAATTATATATTCTTATGGGTTTCTATTGTTTAGTTTTTGCTTAACAAATCATGTGCATTGCATGGGTCCCCACTAGTTTGCAGTATAATGGAGATTCATTGAAGGTGGATAACTTTATGAGCAGAGCAAGAGAAAGTAAGGAGTTTAAGACAAAGCAATGTGCATGGAACGAACCTGACATCTTTTTTTTTTTTTTTTTATGAAATGAGTTATACAACAGGGTAGGGTAGAGGTGTAAAGTGGGCCGTGTCGTGCCATAAAGTGGGCCATGCCGGGCCGGCACAACACGGCCCATGGGCTGCCTGTGCAAAGTGCGGGCTGTGCCACCCTCCCCGGTGAAAATTTTGGGGGTCGGCCCGGTAAGGCCCATGGCCCAAGCCCGTACAGGCCCATGCCGTGCCGTGTCGTGGGCCGAGCCTTGGGCCAAAGCTATTGATTTAAAAAAATTGACAAAAAACTTAAAATTTTAATTTTATATGAATTTTGTGTATAAAATTGCTTATATATACAATAATTAAATAAATTAGTATAACAAAATTAAAAAAATATTTATTTTATTAATATATTATATACTACAATAATATATATGGTTCGTACCAGCCCACGGGTCGTGGCGGCACATCCCGATCGATCGTGCCGTGCCGTGCCAGCCCGTGGACCTAAAACCCTAGGCCCAACATGGTCCGCATGATCGTGTCGAGCTGGCACGACCCTCAAACCGTCATGCCAGGTTGTGCCAGTTCATGGGCAGCACAACCTAATTTACACCTCTAAATAGGGGGTATTCCTCCCCAAACCCTAGGTATATGTTTGGCATCGATGCTGGAAGCACCATTTTTTGAGAAAACGATGTCTTTCTTTTTTGTTTGAAAACGTTGCTACCAGGTAGGACATTTCCTGGAGCAACAACAACACCTTATGTTTGGTACTAGTGCTTCATATTTGTTTTCAGTAATGGTACCCATTATAGGAAGTCCATGTCACTGTCACATTGTGTCCTCGTTAGCAGCAACGAGCTCCAAATTGAGAAAATATCGATTTCGGTGTTGCTCCAAATCACGCCCTGTCGATTTCCAAGACATGGCTTGGAACACCGTTTTCCGGAGCTTCAATTTTTCCATTGTGGTGCTGATATGTCACCATTTTTCTGGAGTAGAGGTGTAAAACGGGCCACAGCACAGTCCTTGGGCGGCCCACATGCTATGCTGGGCGGTGCCACCCTCGGGATAACTTGGGGGGTTGGCCCGACAAGGCCCACGGCCCAGGCCTTTGCGGGCTTGTGCTGTGCCGTGTCACAGGCTGGGCTGGCCCGTGGGCCAAGCCTTGGGCCAGGTTGAGCTGTGCATCGGGCTAATGCTATTTATTTAAAAAATTAAAAAAAAAACTTAAAATTTTAATTTTATATGAATTTTGATGTATACAATTGCTTATATACAATAATTAAATAAATTAGTATAATAAAATTAAAAAAAATTATTTATTTTATTAATATATTATATACTATATATTATTATATAATTATAATTTATATGATATTATAAATATATATAAAATATATAAATAATATATATGGGCCATGCCATGGTCATGCCGTGCCGGCCTAGTCTGTATACCTAAAACCCCAGACCCAACATGGCCCGCACGATCGTATTGGGCCTGACACAACCCGCAAACCATCATGCCAAGCCGGTCCAAATTCATGCTAAGCCATGCCAGGCCACGGGCGGCACAACCTAATTTACCTTATTCTAAAACAACCGCATATTGATGCCAAACACCGCCTAAGACCTTCCCAATTCCGGTAATGGCAGGACTCTAAACCAAATCTCCGTTACAACCTGTTGGATACTTGACTAGCAAAGTAGCTAATAAATTCCAACATGAACATGATCTGTTTCTACATATCATATTGTGGACGGGTCCTAATAAAAAATGTATGGACATGGATCATGTTGAAACTCGTTGGAAAAATATTTTGTTGTGAGAAATCCACCTCCAAATTATATTTACAACGACAAATTGATATATATATATATATTTATATTTTTGATTCATGACAAATTGATATTAATTAAACGCAATGGCTGTTCGTGGAACGAATGATAATAAAATAAATACATAGAACAGCAAGCTGTAGAACGAATGATAATATTTCACACCTTTTATACTGAAACCATGGATTTTATTAACACTATCATTAGATACAGAGCCCGCTGAGCAGCTATCTCGTTCAGCTAATTATCCTTCCTCATTTATGACCAAATCTGTGTTGTGGCGAAGGAGGTTAGGAGGGGGACTTATGGGGAACAATTTTGAATTTTGGTGGTGTATTTATAAGCCAGATCACCCAAGACGGTGGTCGGTAGATTTGAGACCACGTGTCGTTACACGCGTTTGATGAAAATAATTTTGAGAGAATGACCAATCAACCCAGATCACAAGCTGAAGCTCCATTTAGCGGTTTCATGCATCGCCTCAGATTTTAATTTTAGACTTTTACGAGAGTCGTGGTGAAAAGGTGGGCCTCACACGGTTTACTCTGGTGAATGGTGATGCCCCACCGTGTAGGCACGTGTAAGCTTCTCTGTCGTTTACATCTCTTCTCTGAACCAGACTGGACTATCAAAGTATCAAGGCGTTGTGCAAAATGGACAGTCAAAATATTTTTGACTGCCTTATCTTTCGGTTTCTCGTATATGCGATATGTCGGGGCGGGTGATGAGAAATTTGTGTTCTCTCTTAAATATCTTCTCCCTTTTCTGGCTTTATGGTATCCGGTCGCCGTCGTCGTCTTCCGCTGCCCCTGACAAGAAGGTTAGATCTCTGAGGGGTTACTGCTCTGTCCATTAAATGCAGGAAGACTTGCAGAGGAAATAAAATGGATGCAAATTTACTACGGGTTGACTGGTCTTGTTGGAGGTGCAGAAAGATAGGTAATATATGATTCTTTTATTAGTTGTTTCAGGAAATGATCGAGATGAGCTGGCCACCATAAATCTAAAGGGTTTTGTTTGATATTGTACAAAATCTCTCTTTTAGTAGTTGATGTATTTCAATTACTAGCAGAAAGAAGTTGACAGCTCTAGGATTTGTACGAGGAGAAAATATATGTATATATATTGTCTGAACTGAAGACAGTTTTGGTTGCTGAAAAAGAAAATGGCCTTTTCATTCAAATGCATCAGAGGAATCCTTCAAAGGAAAATAGATTTCCGGATTTCCCTTGATATCTTCGCGTTGATTTGCCGAAAGTGAGTAAATAATTGATCCTTTAGAATTTGGATAATGACTCCAGTCTTATCCACCTTTGTTGAAGTTTCAACGATTGTAACGGTGATGGTCTTCTTGGAGTTGCAGATTAATAGCGGAAAAAGAAAATAATATTTCCCGTTGGTTGGGTGGGGGTTTTCATAGAATTTGTAGGGGAAATGCCATGTGGTCAGCTTGGATATCTGCACATGGCCCCTCAGATTTCTATTATCTAAGCTGTGAGGTTGCAAACCAATACAGAAAAACCGAAGTTTGGGGTTTTCAAGTGAATCAGTTGCAGAGAAAAACCACCTGATTGGTGTTAGAGAAAACAAAAGCCCGGTTTTTTAGGAGCCGCGGGAACTGTGATCAGAGACACAGCTCTGTAATTTCAGTGCGGACCCAGTTAAAAAATCTTCGTCTTTATCTCTCTTTCCCCCCTTTATTTTGCTTATTCTTTGAAAGCCAGTTCAGCTGTTCAGGTATACCTGTTCTCCAAATCTCAAAAACACCAAATTGAAGGACCAAACCAGTTTTCTTCACCTAACTGGTTCATTTTTCTTCGATAATCCATCCATTATCATTATTATAATTCTCTTACTCCACCTGGTCCTTCCCCGATAGGCCTCTTCTTATTCCTTATTCTTCTTCTTCTTCTCCAAAACAGCAAAAGTTGAAAGCCCATCTCATTTCTTTCTCTTTGTAGTTCTTCTCTCTGATATCTTTGTAGTAAAAGTAAATCAGCTGCCATTTAAGGTTCTTTTGGGGACAAAGAGACCGGAGGTTTGAAACCTTTTGCTCTCAGGTGCCCATTATCCACTTACATATCCGGCGAAAATCCTCCCGTCCTTTTTCCTTCCCATTCTCTCTAAACTCCCAACTTCGCCAGAAAAACAAGGATCGTTGATATTACATCATTGAAAGGGTTCATCAATCATCAGCCCTCCTTTCTTGTCTTTCCTCTTTTTTTTTTGTCCGATATATCCAGTTATCCACAATATCTCTGGAAACTCTTCCTGTTCTTTCGCTCTCTTAGTATTTAAACTCGTGATATATATTTGATCAAAAAGGGAATAGGTGAGAATGCAACGGGTTGTTATTCTCTTTATATCTTTTCAGCAACCTGGGAATAATACTGTCGTCTCTTTCTCATCTCTGTAATCATTTTCATGACATTTGAACATTGAGCACGAAATAAAGAGATTTGACTGAAATGGTTTTTCTTCCATTCATGTCTTTTCACCAACCTGACAGTGACTCCTATTCTTCTCGGTTCGACTTTTCTTTTTCAGCTGCAAAGTGTTCTTGCTTGCTGATCTACTTATCTTAACCGTTACTTTTCTTTTCCCTCGGTAGGTGAATCTGACCGGGAGGGGGGGGGAAGTTTTCGACTGTGATGTTTAATTAACTGAAAATCAATGACGACTCTTTTTTGTTTCTTCACTCCATCAATGTTCCCCATTGCAGTTGTTCTATTTTTTATCCTCTCTGTTATTCTAAGTTCTGCTTTCCCTTCAGTCCTGGTTACAATAATCGTTTTGGTTTCATCTGCTCTTTTCGTAACATTCACAAAGCAAAGAACCGGCTGTGTAGAGAGCTCAGTGAAAGATGAGCTTACAAGTACTGACGAGAAAAACCTGGGAGAGAGAGGATGTGGAAGACGAGCCACTCCGAGAAGCCGAGGATGATGCACATGATAGAGAAACCCAAGATTGGGGCGGAAGAGGTAAGCTTGATGAGAATGGCATCAGGTCACCGGATTTTCTATCGGAGAGCGAAAGCATGGATCACTCGTCCGGTAGTGATCGGTGGGATGTTGAGTCGCCGTCTCCAAGCAAAATGGGACGGATTCAGAAATGCTCCGATGATCCAATTTCAGATGATGATAGCCTCATTGAGATTGAGCTCCCCGATGGGCATTACGTCGGCCCCAAAGAACAGCACAAGTCAAGGCAGACGCCTAATCTGCTAGAAATGTTGCCGGGGTCAATTTCTCGACAACAGGACATAATGGAGCTTCTATCGGAAATTAACGAGATGAATGAAGAAGAGAATTTGATAGAGATCGACATCTCCATGGGCTCCATCAAGTGTTCGAGGTTAGAGATTGAAGCGTGACTGACTGCAAGTGCTTACTGAGTGAGTTTGGTCCTTCGTCTCGTGCTACATTTTGGGTTAGTGTTAGATCCTGGACTGGAACGTTTTGTTTTTTGTTGTTGAAATGTTCTGTATTCGTTCACACGGTTTTAATATTACAAATTAGTACAGGCTTTGTACACTGGTTGAAGCATTGGAACCGTACTTCTTTTATTTCTTGAAGTATACATATCGTATCATAGTATCGATCTCTAATTCTATAATGTGTATAATTAGTCCTATTATATATTAATCAAGTTAGAAAACACTATCAGGATCTTGTTTGCTCAAAAAAAAAAAAAAATCTTGTTTGCAAAAAAGACGAAGCCAGCCTTTATCAGATACTCAGATGTTTTAGCAGCTCATGCTCAGTTGGACGAGATTTGGTCTCATATTTCTCCACAGCTTGACAATCCCAGTTCCGCCAAGGCCCATTCGTTGGGTTAAACCTCCTATCAATACCCTCAAGATCAATTTCGGTGGTGTATTTGAATAATTTTTCTGGTGCGCGCGATAGGTTTCTTGATTCGTGATTCTGAAGGTAATTTCTGTTTTGGAATAGCTTTGAAATCTTCTGTGGGCACTCCGTTGGAAGCACGGGTGTCAATTGAAGTGGATTTGGTCCAATTCGATCCAGTTCAATGTGAGTCTAAATGGACCAGGTCCAATCTAATCCAACAAATATTATGGATCATTTTGGATCGGTCCAATCTATTTAAATTTGTTTTAATTTAGATTGTTTCCAACTCAAACCTCGTCCATTGCCACCTATGTTTTTATTTTCTATCAATGGATCAGATATTGGCTTAATTCGCCCCAATCCCATATAAATTTATTACGGATGGATCAGGTCCAATCCAATCCAGTAATACTTTAGACCATTAAATCTAGACTGATCTAATTCAATATATCTTGTTGGTCCGTCCAAATTAATTTTGGTTTGAACGGATCAAACCCAAAACTGGTCTATTGACACTCCTAATTGGAAGTTGAAGCAAGAGTAGCGTTGGAGGCATATCACCAAGATATTTCAACATCTAATTCATTTGGTGCTTTTAAAAAGTCTTTTGACTTGTTTCGAAATTGTAAATCTTAATTGATGACATCAACATCCAATTCACTTGATGATTTTAACATCAAGCCATTTTGACTTATTTCAAAATGTAAATATGAAATCAATTGACCATGTTGAAATCAATGAGTTATTTCAACGTCTAATTTACTTGATTTCAACATCAAACTTTAATTGGTTGACTTGCACAACTTTCTGCTATCAAACTACTAAGTAGAGGCATCAAATATATCTTCTTAAATATATCTTTGACGAAGAAGAGGCTGCCTATTTGGATAAATACATGATGCTAGTATTTTTACTTGTTTTCACAAAGTATTGGCCATTTAACAAATATTTGACCAAGTCAACATCTTGGGTTCACATTAGCTTGAAACAATGGATTCAATAAAACCTGCATCTCATAAAAAAAGTGCTTGTATGGGTGTATCTTATACCCAACCTAACCTTAACTATATCCGCTTGTCTTAAAAACGTGTATCTCCAATTGTAAAAAAAAAAATAAAAAAGACTTGTATCTCATCCTATATACTTGTCCTTTATAGTATCCACCTATTAACAACTTGTATTTCAAACCCTATTGTCCAAAAAAAAACATCCCTAAAGTTCATGAAATGTACATGTGCCTATCCAACAATCAATAAAAAACATGCAAATAACTAGTGTCAAAGGAGATATACCCCTATTATTTACATATTGCCTTAAATTACCTTAAAGTTTTCTAACAATTGACTAACCCTTCTTTGTCATTAACATGCGTCAACAGAGATATAAAAAAGACTATTTTACTTCCACTTTTCTTTCAATTTTCAAAAATACGTCCATCTTCATCAACTGCATCGACACCCCTGTTAGACAATGTATGCCCTTAGCTCCAATCAGAATGATGTACATTATGGCATTTATTGTAAATGAATAAAGTACATATTTGATTCATGTTATTGTGGTGTGTTTCTGTGTAATA